TCCCAGCGAACTCCACCAAGCTCCCGTGCGGAGGCCGCCCAAAGCGCCCACCCCACCCGGCACCGCTGCGCGCCAGCGCCCATCGGCGGGATGGCGGCCCAGTGGGCTCGCCAGACGGTGCAGAAGCTGCAGGCGCGCCTGGCCACCCACGCCCACGACCCTCGCGAGCTCCGCCAGTGCTTGGAGAGGCTCTCCGTCTTGCCCATGACAGGGGACATCCTGGCCGACACCGGCGTCCGAAAGACGGTGAGGGGCTTGCGCAAACACCAGCTCGTGGGCAGCTTGGCCAAGGAGCTGGCCGCCCGTTGGAAGATCCTGGCTCTGCTGGATCGCGAGGCGCGGCCTGAGCACCGGGTCGCTCCTGGCGAGCGCCCCGCAGATGCTCTTCCTGGGCGGCGGCAGCACGGGGAAACGGACGCGCAGCGGGAGCTCGGGCCCCCTGGCAAGCGAGCTCCCAGTCCCGAGGGCGCGACAGAGCACGGGAGGAAGCGCCCCAGAGAGGCACCAGCTCCTTCCTCAGACTTCCTCAGGCTTCAGGCCCCTCGGGGGGGCTCCGCGGGGCCCCCTCAGGTGGCCCGGCACCCGTCCACATCCCCGCGGGAGCCCGGACCCGCTGCTCCAGCGGACATCTCTGCAGTAGGCGGAACCCAGGCCTCCCACGAAGGGCCCGGGCTCCGGCCACGCCCAAGCACCGAGAAAGAATTCCAGGAGCCCGCCTCGTCTTTTCAGGCCTGCCTACACTATGAGGAGCCCCCGAAGAAAAAGAAGGCGCCTGGCAAAACTTCTGCCACTTCTACACTGGCAGAGACACAGCCGACAAGAGGTGCCTCCCAAAGCGGCCCCCGAGACTCCGACTTGCTGGGGAAATTACCTAAGGTGAAGGGACACGAGGAGCCCCAGAAGCCGCAGCCGGCCGAAGCCGATGCGGCCAAGCTGGAGAAGGTGTCCAGCGCGGCCGCGGCGATGCCGCCGCCGGCACTCCCCTTCCCCGGGGCGCAGGCCAGCTGCAGTCCCCTTCCCGCCCTCCACGCCAGCTCCCCCTTCCACGCACTGGGAGCGGCAGCGCCGTCTTGGCTCCACGAAGGGGAAGAGGAAGACCAAGACGGAGAGGAAGATCGAGCGGCAGAGGCAGAGGAAGGACCCGAGCAAGGGGCCGCATTTACTGGGGGCAGAGTGTATTCCAAGATGCCCGTGTATTCTGGCTCCAAGCGGGGCTCCTTCCGCCGCCGCCGCTGCCGCCGCCGCAGCCAGCAGGACATGCGGGAAGAGACAGGGCTCCTGGAATGCTCCTCGGAAGGAGCGGGAACCCCCGACTGCCTTCCCGAGCCCGCCTGGGAGACCTGTAGTCCTGCTCAGCTCTGGCGCACGCAGAAATCTCGCCACGTTCCGGTGGAACAGACAGACCGCTTGTGGAGAAGGCGTTGCAGCAAAGACTTTAAGGGGGAAACGCCGCGGGAGCGAGAGTCCTGGCGCGAGATGTACCTGCGGCTTCGCGAGGCCCGAGAGCGGCGACTCCAGGCAGTGGCCGCCAGGATCCAATCTGCACAGGCCAAGAAGGCCCACGGCCGACAGACACAGATGATCCTCTTCAATCCTCTGGCCCAGCCACCTGACCAGATTGCCGGGTGGCAGCAGAAGTCGCCAGGGGCAACAGCCCCATCCCGCACAGGCAGCAGCTTCAGCGGTGCCAGCAGCGCCAGCGGGAATCCAGGTGCTCAGAGACCAGCCTGTGCCTCTGGGAGCGCCGCAAGGGCTCCCGCTCCCGCTCCCTCCGTGCTGGCGGCCAACACCAGGAAAGCTACAGCCAAGAAAGCTGCCCCGCTCATGGCCAAGACGCTTAGAGATTACAAGCACTGCAAGAGCAGATCCTACCGGCCATGAACTCAGGACACTCCTCTCAGTGAGACTTCAGGAGGACTTCACCCTGAGTCTTCCCCCGCGGGGTGGCGGGTGGGTGTGGGGACGATGAGCTCTCAGGCTCCCAATCCCCTTCACCCCGCAGCCCGAAGGTCTCCAGCGTGGGACCCGGCATCCCTCATCTTCGCGGCTTCCTTCCGCTTTTCTTCTGGCTCCCATAGGCGCTAGGCGCTCTCCTCAACGGGCTAACTTAAAGGGGCGGTGGCGCCAGGGCGCACTGGCTAGCTGATGACTGAGTTCGGTTTGCAATCTCACACGACGCCAGGCCTCCTTCAACACACATCCTCAGGCCAGTGTATGAAGCACACGCCTCAACTGCACGACGCACAGATGAAAGCAATAAAACCTGTGCCACCCAGGGGAACGGAGGGGGGGCTGGGGGGGGAGTTTTGGGGGTGGTGGGTGGGCTGATGGCTGGCAGCGAAGAAAGCAAGAGCAAGCCCAGGATGGTGGCACGCACCTGGACCCCCAGCTACTGGGGTGGCTGAGAGGGAAACCCTTGTGCTGAGGGACTCAGCACTGGACTGGGGACCTAGGAAGCCAGATCATCTCAACAACCACAAGAACAACAGAAACAACACAGGGAGGGAACCAGGGAGGAAGGGAGCGGGGAAAGGCGGGAGGAAGGGAGGGAGAGGGAGGCACAAAACTCTGATAGAGTTCAAAGATGCTCTGTGTAATGAAAGTGCAAACTGTGGCAGTCCAACGTTTGCCCTGTGGAATGAATAAAGTCTAAAGGATAACACGCTTGGTGTGTTACAGCCGATGACCACACGTTGCTAGGCACTGGGTGGGCAGATACAACTTGTAGGAGAGGTAAGAGGTGCACATTGAAAACGTGGCCATTCAGCGGGGGGGGGGGGGTGCTACTTGTAGAGGGAGAGACTGCAGTATGGGAGAATCTCAGCGGGCCAAAGCACAACCTCTGCAACCAGCGGCCACGGGAAAGCAGACCAGGGCCCCTGGAGCAATCGGCCTAGCAGGGTCCGTCAAGATTGGGTCGGCGAGGGCCAGCCTCCCGTGTTGCTGCCCACAGGGCGTGAGGCAGGACCAAGCAGAGAGGACCAAATATGCTCTCCAGACCAGTCTCAGAAGATGCCCTGCTGCCTGAGAGCCCGCTTCCATCTTCTCCGTGTCAACAAGCTCTGGACAGACAGAAGGACAGACAAAAAGTGCCCAGAGGGCATCACGGGTGTGCTGGGGAGGAGTAGCCAGCAGGATAGGAAGTTCAAGGCCAGCCTGGACTACAGGTCCTGTCTCCAAAACCACCATCCATCCATGCATCCATCCAGCCATTCAAGCAAGCGAACAAACCAACAAAGGAAACCAAGAGAGAGAAGGGAAAGGATGAGAGAGGACTCGCCCATATACACACTTTTGGTAAACACCTGTGTGTACTTGGGAGGGTCCGGATGGAGAGGGAGGTCCTCTCCTCTCCTCTTTTCTCTTAGGGATCATGATCATCTTGCCCACTCTCAGGACGCCCACGTTGGTTCACGCACACTTGATCAGTGAGCAGCAGGCACAGGGCACCACGTTAGAACCTCAAACTTATGTCACTCAGAGTATGGATAGCCAAACGGTGACAGCCGTCGTCGGTGCCTTTCGGATCTAACCAAATCTAAGTTTGGGGTGTCCTTAACACCAAAGGGAAGGGGATTTAGTGAGGCCGGGGGAGGGATGGGGGGCGGTGTGGTCGGGGAGGAAGGGGGTGAGCGGGTGGTAATACCCATGGATGGTGAACACGCGCCCAGGCCGACCGCTGCAGAGTGGCGTCAGAAAGATGCAAGGAACTGGCTAACTGGCTGACTGTCTGCAGGGAAGAATGGCTGCAGAGAGCTGGAAAGACGAAATGGCAAAAAAAAAAAAAAAGCAGACCCACCCTGCTCTTTGCCCAGTTTCTTGGAGAGAGGTGAGGCCAGGTGCACTTCCGGAGACCTGCTAGGCTCTGATCCTCTGGGGCGAAACTGGGTGAGACCCACTTCTGGCCCACAACTTCAGGGAGGACTGGGAGGAAGTACACCTCCAGGGCAGTGGCATGGAGTTCTTTCCGGGGTGGGGGCGAAGGTCCTCATGCCCCTTGGGGTGTCTTCCCTGGCCTCTTCTGACTCAGGCCCCACTGCTGACCCTCAGGGTCCTCACAAACGGTGGTCGTTCCCTTCCCTCCTTCACTCGGAAGGAATAGAAGTGATGACGCCTAGGGACGCACAGCGGACACGGAAGACCCTCCCCTTGCCCTTCAGGGTCTCAGCTTCTGGGTGTTGGGGACACATCCATTCCCTTGCCTCTCTGGGCCTCCATTCCCCGGTTCACAAGGGGACCGCAGGGCAATTGGGATTCAGTTCCCTTTCCCGTAGCGAGTCCTCTTAGGTGGGCTGCCTGCAACGGAAGTGGACCTCTCCTCCCCACCCCCAACCCCCTTGACCCAGCCTGGGCTTTGGGCTTCCTCCTCTGTAAAAGGGGGAGAGGGAACTCCAGGAAGCTGGAGCTGGGGTGGTCACTGGCGATGGCTCAATCCACTGGCGGTGACTAGGTGACACCAGCAGTGGCAGTGGGGTAGTGGAAGCGGAGGGGAACCCCCTGGGTCCCTGGGGACTCCCGAGGCAGGCATCAGCCGCGGGTCCAGGAACGCGGGCCTCACAGGTGTCCGTCGAGGGCGTGGCTCACAGGCTCCGCCCCGCAGGGGGCGGGGCCTGCTGGCTATATAAGGCCGGCCTGGGCCTGGACGCCCGGGGCTCTTTTGCTTGAGGGACAGCACACCCCACCGCGCAGCTGCTTGCCGCCGCCACAGGCCTGTCTCCCGGCTCCGTGCACCAGGCCGCCCGCCCGTGCCGCCGCAGCCTTTACCGTCGCCGAGGACACCGAGGACACCGGCCTGCGCACACCGGGTGGCACCTCCCTCCTCCACCCCACTTCCCGGTGCTGAACCCCACCACCGTACCTGGCACGCCCCAGGGCCCACCTGCCGCCCAGCTCGCCGCCGCAGGAGCGACTCCCAGCGAACTCCACCAAGCTCCCGTGCGGAGGCCGCCCAAAGCGCCCACCCCACCCGGCACCGCTGCGCGCCAGCGCCCATCGGCGGGATGGCGGCCCAGTGGGCTCGCCAGACGGTGCAGAAGCTGCAGGCGCGCCTGGCCACCCACGCCCACGACCCTCGCGAGCTCCGCCAGTGCTTGGAGAGGCTCTCCGTCTTGCCCATGACAGGGGACATCCTGGCCGACACCGGCGTCCGAAAGACGGTGAGGGGCTTGCGCAAACACCAGCTCGTGGGCAGCTTGGCCAAGGAGCTGGCCGCCCGTTGGAAGATCCTGGCTCTGCTGGATCGCGAGGCGCGGCCTGAGCACCGGGTCGCTCCTGGCGAGCGCCCCGCAGATGCTCTTCCTGGGCGGCGGCAGCACGGGGAAACGGACGCGCAGCGGGAGCTCGGGCCCCCTGGCAAGCGAGCTCCCAGTCCCGAGGGCGCGACAGAGCACGGGAGGAAGCGCCCCAGAGAGGCACCAGCTCCTTCCTCAGACTTCCTCAGGCTTCAGGCCCCTCGGGGGGGCTCCGCGGGGCCCCCTCAGGTGGCCCGGCACCCGTCCACATCCCCGCGGGAGCCCGGACCCGCTGCTCCAGCGGACATCTCTGCAGTAGGCGGAACCCAGGCCTCCCACGAAGGGCCCGGGCTCCGGCCACGCCCAAGCACCGAGAAAGAATTCCAGGAGCCCGCCTCGTCTTTTCAGGCCTGCCTACACTATGAGGAGCCCCCGAAGAAAAAGAAGGCGCCTGGCAAAACTTCTGCCACTTCTACACTGGCAGAGACACAGCCGACAAGAGGTGCCTCCCAAAGCGGCCCCCGAGACTCCGACTTGCTGGGGAAATTACCTAAGGTGAAGGGACACGAGGAGCCCCAGAAGCCGCAGCCGGCCGAAGCCGATGCGGCCAAGCTGGAGAAGGTGTCCAGCGCGGCCGCGGCGATGCCGCCGCCGGCACTCCCCTTCCCCGGGGCGCAGGCCAGCTGCAGTCCCCTTCCCGCCCTCCACGCCAGCTCCCCCTTCCACGCACTGGGAGCGGCAGCGCCGTCTTGGCTCCACGAAGGGGAAGAGGAAGACCAAGACGGAGAGGAAGATCGAGCGGCAGAGGCAGAGGAAGGACCCGAGCAAGGGGCCGCATTTACTGGGGGCAGAGTGTATTCCAAGATGCCCGTGTATTCTGGCTCCAAGCGGGGCTCCTTCCGCCGCCGCCGCTGCCGCCGCCGCAGCCAGCAGGACATGCGGGAAGAGACAGGGCTCCTGGAATGCTCCTCGGAAGGAGCGGGAACCCCCGACTGCCTTCCCGAGCCCGCCTGGGAGACCTGTAGTCCTGCTCAGCTCTGGCGCACGCAGAAATCTCGCCACGTTCCGGTGGAACAGACAGACCGCTTGTGGAGAAGGCGTTGCAGCAAAGACTTTAAGGGGGAAACGCCGCGGGAGCGAGAGTCCTGGCGCGAGATGTACCTGCGGCTTCGCGAGGCCCGAGAGCGGCGACTCCAGGCAGTGGCCGCCAGGATCCAATCTGCACAGGCCAAGAAGGCCCACGGCCGACAGACACAGATGATCCTCTTCAATCCTCTGGCCCAGCCACCTGACCAGATTGCCGGGTGGCAGCAGAAGTCGCCAGGGGCAACAGCCCCATCCCGCACAGGCAGCAGCTTCAGCGGTGCCAGCAGCGCCAGCGGGAATCCAGGTGCTCAGAGACCAGCCTGTGCCTCTGGGAGCGCCGCAAGGGCTCCCGCTCCCGCTCCCTCCGTGCTGGCGGCCAACACCAGGAAAGCTACAGCCAAGAAAGCTGCCCCGCTCATGGCCAAGACGCTTAGAGATTACAAGCACTGCAAGAGCAGATCCTACCGGCCATGAACTCAGGACACTCCTCTCAGTGAGACTTCAGGAGGACTTCACCCTGAGTCTTCCCCCGCGGGGTGGCGGGTGGGTGTGGGGACGATGAGCTCTCAGGCTCCCAATCCCCTTCACCCCGCAGCCCGAAGGTCTCCAGCGTGGGACCCGGCATCCCTCATCTTCGCGGCTTCCTTCCGCTTTTCTTCTGGCTCCCATAGGCGCTAGGCGCTCTCCTCAACGGGCTAACTTAAAGGGGCGGTGGCGCCAGGGCGCACTGGCTAGCTGATGACTGAGTTCGGTTTGCAATCTCACACGACGCCAGGCCTCCTTCAACACACATCCTCAGGCCAGTGTATGAAGCACACGCCTCAACTGCACGACGCACAGATGAAAGCAATAAAACCTGTGCCACCCAGGGGAACGGAGGGGGGGCTGGGGGGGAGTTTTGGGGGTGGTGGGTGGGCTGATGGCTGGCAGCGAAGAAAGCAAGAGCAAGCCCAGGATGGTGGCACGCACCTGGACCCCCAGCTACTGGGGTGGCTGAGAGGGAAACCCTTGTGCTGAGGGACTCAGCACTGGACTGGGGACCTAGGAAGCCAGATCATCTCAACAACCACAAGAACAACAGAAACAACACAGGGAGGGAACCAGGGAGGAAGGGAGCGGGGAAAGGCGGGAGGAAGGGAGGGAGAGGGAGGCACAAAACTCTGATAGAGTTCAAAGATGCTCTGTGTAATGAAAGTGCAAACTGTGGCAGTCCAACGTTTGCCCTGTGGAATGAATAAAGTCTAAAGGATAACACGCTTGGTGTGTTACAGCCGATGACCACACGTTGCTAGGCACTGGGTGGGCAGATACAACTTGTAGGAGAGGTAAGAGGTGCACATTGAAAACGTGGCCATTCAGCGGGGGGGGGGGGTGCTACTTGTAGAGGGAGAGACTGCAGTATGGGAGAATCTCAGCGGGCCAAAGCACAACCTCTGCAACCAGCGGCCACGGGAAAGCAGACCAGGGCCCCTGGAGCAATCGGCCTAGCAGGGTCCGTCAAGATTGGGTCGGCGAGGGCCAGCCTCCCGTGTTGCTGCCCACAGGGCGTGAGGCAGGACCAAGCAGAGAGGACCAAATATGCTCTCCAGACCAGTCTCAGAAGATGCCCTGCTGCCTGAGAGCCCGCTTCCATCTTCTCCGTGTCAACAAGCTCTGGACAGACAGAAGGACAGACAAAAAGTGCCCAGAGGGCATCACGGGTGTGCTGGGGAGGAGTAGCCAGCAGGATAGGAAGTTCAAGGCCAGCCTGGACTACAGGTCCTGTCTCCAAAACCACCATCCATCCATGCATCCATCCAGCCATTCAAGCAAGCGAACAAACCAACAAAGGAAACCAAGAGAGAGAAGGGAAAGGATGAGAGAGGACTCGCCCATATACACACTTTTGGTAAACACCTGTGTGTACTTGGGAGGGTCCGGATGGAGAGGGAGGTCCTCTCCTCTCCTCTTTTCTCTTAGGGATCATGATCATCTTGCCCACTCTCAGGACGCCCACGTTGGTTCACGCACACTTGATCAGTGAGCAGCAGGCACAGGGCACCACGTTAGAACCTCAAACTTATGTCACTCAGAGTATGGATAGCCAAACGGTGACAGCCGTCGTCGGTGCCTTTCGGATCTAACCAAATCTAAGTTTGGGGTGTCCTTAACACCAAAGGGAAGGGGATTTAGTGAGGCCGGGGGAGGGATGGGGGGGCGGTGTGGTCGGGGAGGAAGGGGGTGAGCGGGTGGTAATACCCATGGATGGTGAACACGCGCCCAGGCCGACCGCTGCAGAGTGGCGTCAGAAAGATGCAAGGAACTGGCTAACTGGCTGACTGTCTGCAGGGAAGAATGGCTGCAGAGAGCTGGAAAGACGAAATGGCAAAAAAAAAAAAAAAAGCAGACCCACCCTGCTCTTTGCCCAGTTTCTTGGAGAGAGGTGAGGCCAGGTGCACTTCCGGAGACCTGCTAGGCTCTGATCCTCTGGGGCGAAACTGGGTGAGACCCACTTCTGGCCCACAACTTCAGGGAGGACTGGGAGGAAGTACACCTCCAGGGCAGTGGCATGGAGTTCTTTCCGGGGTGGGGGCGAAGGTCCTCATGCCCCTTGGGGTGTCTTCCCTGGCCTCTTCTGACTCAGGCCCCACTGCTGACCCTCAGGGTCCTCACAAACGGTGGTCGTTCCCTTCCCTCCTTCACTCGGAAGGAATAGAAGTGATGACGCCTAGGGACGCACAGCGGACACGGAAGACCCTCCCCTTGCCCTTCAGGGTCTCAGCTTCTGGGTGTTGGGGACACATCCATTCCCTTGCCTCTCTGGGCCTCCATTCCCCGGTTCACAAGGGGACCGCAGGGCAATTGGGATTCAGTTCCCTTTCCCGTAGCGAGTCCTCTTAGGTGGGCTGCCTGCAACGGAAGTGGACCTCTCCTCCCCACCCCCAACCCCCTTGACCCAGCCTGGGCTTTGGGCTTCCTCCTCTGTAAAAGGGGGAGAGGGAACTCCAGGAAGCTGGAGCTGGGGTGGTCACTGGCGATGGCTCAATCCACTGGCGGTGACTAGGTGACACCAGCAGTGGCAGTGGGGTAGTGGAAGCGGAGGGGAACCCCCTGGGTCCCTGGGGACTCCCGAGGCAGGCATCAGCCGCGGGTCCAGGAACGCGGGCCTCACAGGTGTCCGTCGAGGGCGTGGCTCACAGGCTCCGCCCCGCAGGGGGCGGGGCCTGCTGGCTATATAAGGCCGGCCTGGGCCTGGACGCCCGGGGCTCTTTTGCTTGAGGGACAGCACACCCCACCGCGCAGCTGCTTGCCGCCGCCACAGGCCTGTCTCCCGGCTCCGTGCACCAGGCCGCCCGCCCGTGCCGCCGCAGCCTTTACCGTCGCCGAGGACACCGAGGACACCGGCCTGCGCACACCGGGTGGCACCTCCCTCCTCCACCCCACTTCCCGGTGCTGAACCCACCACCGTACCTGGCACGCCCCAGGGCCCACCTGCCGCCCAGCTCGCCGCCGCAGGAGCGACTCCCAGCGAACTCCACCAAGCTCCCGTGCGGAGGCCGCCCAAAGCGCCCACCCCACCCGGCACCGCTGCGCGCCAGCGCCCATCGGCGGGATGGCGGCCCAGTGGGCTCGCCAGACGGTGCAGAAGCTGCAGGCGCGCCTGGCCACCCACGCCCACGACCCTCGCGAGCTCCGCCAGTGCTTGGAGAGGCTCTCCGTCTTGCCCATGACAGGGGACATCCTGGCCGACACCGGCGTCCGAAAGACGGTGAGGGGCTTGCGCAAACACCAGCTCGTGGGCAGCTTGGCCAAGGAGCTGGCCGCCCGTTGGAAGATCCTGGCTCTGCTGGATCGCGAGGCGCGGCCTGAGCACCGGGTCGCTCCTGGCGAGCGCCCCGCAGATGCTCTTCCTGGGCGGCGGCAGCACGGGGAAACGGACGCGCAGCGGGAGCTCGGGCCCCCTGGCAAGCGAGCTCCCAGTCCCGAGGGCGCGACAGAGCACGGGAGGAAGCGCCCCAGAGAGGCACCAGCTCCTTCCTCAGACTTCCTCAGGCTTCAGGCCCCTCGGGGGGGCTCCGCGGGGCCCCCTCAGGTGGCCCGGCACCCGTCCACATCCCCGCGGGAGCCCGGACCCGCTGCTCCAGCGGACATCTCTGCAGTAGGCGGAACCCAGGCCTCCCACGAAGGGCCCGGGCTCCGGCCACGCCCAAGCACCGAGAAAGAATTCCAGGAGCCCGCCTCGTCTTTTCAGGCCTGCCTACACTATGAGGAGCCCCCGAAGAAAAAGAAGGCGCCTGGCAAAACTTCTGCCACTTCTACACTGGCAGAGACACAGCCGACAAGAGGTGCCTCCCAAAGCGGCCCCCGAGACTCCGACTTGCTGGGGAAATTACCTAAGGTGAAGGGACACGAGGAGCCCCAGAAGCCGCAGCCGGCCGAAGCCGATGCGGCCAAGCTGGAGAAGGTGTCCAGCGCGGCCGCGGCGATGCCGCCGCCGGCACTCCCCTTCCCCGGGGCGCAGGCCAGCTGCAGTCCCCTTCCCGCCCTCCACGCCAGCTCCCCTTCCACGCACTGGGAGCGGCAGCGCCGTCTTGGCTCCACGAAGGGGAAGAGGAAGACCAAGACGGAGAGGAAGATCGAGCGGCAGAGGCAGAGGAAGGACCCGAGCAAGGGGCCGCATTTACTGGGGGCAGAGTGTATTCCAAGATGCCCGTGTATTCTGGCTCCAAGCGGGGCTCCTTCCGCCGCCGCCGCTGCCGCCGCCGCAGCCAGCAGGACATGCGGGAAGAGACAGGGCTCCTGGAATGCTCCTCGGAAGGAGCGGGAACCCCCGACTGCCTTCCCGAGCCCGCCTGGGAGACCTGTAGTCCTGCTCAGCTCTGGCGCACGCAGAAATCTCGCCACGTTCCGGTGGAACAGACAGACCGCTTGTGGAGAAGGCGTTGCAGCAAAGACTTTAAGGGGGAAACGCCGCGGGAGCGAGAGTCCTGGCGCGAGATGTACCTGCGGCTTCGCGAGGCCCGAGAGCGGCGACTCCAGGCAGTGGCACCAGGATTGTGAGCGCCCTGCAGATACTGTTCTTGTATTGCTGAGGCAGGAGGAGGAAATATTTGCAATCTTACTACACTAGGCCTTCTTCTACACACATTCTCAAGTCCTCGATTGGACTATGCACAGATGAAAATAATAAAATGTGTACCAACCATGGGACCTGGGAAAAATGATGGTTTGCAGGGATGAAAGCAAGCCCAGAATGTTGGCAAGGTCCGTAATTCCCTGCTCCTGGAGTGGCTGAGTGTTAAACCCTTCTGCTGAGGAACTCAATACCGCCTCAAATGTTAAAATACTTGATTAACGCTCGGAAGCCTCTGTGTACAAACTCTAGTACCACCCAAAAAAAAATATGTATGTATATATAAAGTCAAATGTAACTGAAAATACATTCCTTTAGGAGATTAAAAAATACTGACGTAAAAACAGATTTCCCTCATTTTTGTCGGTGGCCCTCATCCAATAAGTATAAATTAATATGGCTTTATTTCAGTGTTATTTTGCATGTACTCATGAGCGTGTGTATCAATCAAGAAATACATTCCTGTGCATTGATACCAGTTATTAGTTGTTTGAGTTCAATGTTGTTGTCATGTTGAAATAATTGCTCCTCATAGCTTGCTTGGCCTTAGACAATTTTTAAAATTCTTACGTTCTGTCTGAAAAGAAGGAAGTTGCAGAAGTATACAGATTGGATATAGTCTTATATTAATTAAACACTAAATTTAAACTCAGCAATTGTCCATCCAGCTTTTTGCTACAGTATTAAACTGTAGCTTGTGATTGAAACCTGTATCTGTCAGGATTCTCCAGAGAGAACCAGTAAGATCATGTACACATGCATGAAGGCACACAGGCACAGAGACATACTTAGTATCCATGGGGAATTGGTTTTAGAAACCCCCTCCAATACTAAAATCTGTGCAACTGAAAAAAAATAAATAAAAAGACCCAGCCAATATTTTCATTCAAGTCTACATACAGGAAGTAAGAAATCATGTGCAACTTGAAAAAAATATCAGGTAGAAGGACTATCCTCTTACTTGTGAGAAGGTCGGTCTTTTTTTCTCTTATTTTTGTACATGTATATTCACTTCTTGAACTGAATGAATAAGGCACATCCTACTAATGAGGGCAATCAGTGTTTTCCAGTTTACTGATTGAAATATTAATAGCTTCCAGAAACACCTTCACAGACAAACCAGAATAATGTCTACTCTATTGGGATACCCAAATGTCTGGGTACTCCATTGCACTAACTAGTTGACACATAAAAGTGACTGTCACAGACCCCATGCCAAAATTAGTGCATCAGGAACTGAATTTTCTAAACATTCCAAGTATTTATTGTGCGCATTAAAAACAGAGTCTAAGGGGCACCCTCTCTTGGGATCTCCCCAACTCTGACGGTTCTACTTTCCTGCTTTACACTTTTTCTCTCTCAATAAACTCTCCTGCTTCATACTTAAGAAAACAACAGAGGCCAGGCAAAAGCATGATCAATTTACTAGTTATCTCAGTCTCAGTGGTAGATCGCTTACCCAGCTACCATGCAAGAGATCCTCTCTTCTAGCTCCAGGACCACAAAAAAAGAAAAAAAAAAAGAATGAGTAAAGTGGGGGGAGACTTGCCAAAGTCCTTTCCCATAAGGAGTTTATGGACCACTGGATTAGTGGGAAGAACCAACCAATAAATATTTGATTGTAGGGTACATGGTCGGGCATTAAAAAGTAATTAATTGCAACTTTGTGGAATAAAGATGATGTGGTAATTTCTGTTCCCTGCATCAAGGAGGGACACTTCGTCACACTGCTGAGAGGGCTGACCAAGAGAGACAAATTAGATGCTAAAGAACAAGAATTTATGGGGCAGAGAAGGAGATCAGGAAGAAAAGTGGAAAAGTAGGAGACTAGGATACGTGAAAGCCAAGTGAAGCTAAGAATAAATACAAGGTCATTGGTCCCATGCATGGGTATCTCTAAACACCAGAACCACACTTGAGAGATAGGGCACTAATAGTTCCATTGTATGAATTAGTGATTAAATAATAGCACATGTACCTAAGTGGTTAGTCAAGTGAAAACCAAGATAAGAAGTCAAAAGCATTTAACACTCATTCTTATGCTCAGCCACAAGGCCTTAGCAAGTCCCAATAAATAACTGTATTTAAAACTGAATTTGAATATATAAACATTTGAGAGACAAGTGCATAATTTAAACTCAACGCCCAGGAAGTTACCTTTTAGATATTAATCAATTTCTTAAAATATCCATTTCTCTGGAACAACCCCTCAAACAGCAACCGGCATGATTCTTTGTACCTAGTAGGCACTTAATAAAATGTAAATAAAGATTGTTCTGGGGTGGGGGGAGTGTAATAAGTCTGGGCACCAGTGTAATCCTAGCTACTCAGGAGACAGAGATAAGGACTGAGGTTCAAAGCCAGCCCAGGAAAATAGTTACTTAGACTCTATCTCAAAAAATATCGAATTCCCAAAGAAAGGACTGATGGAGTCGCTCATGTGGTAGAGCACCTGCCTAGCCAGCATCAGGCCCTGAGTTCAAATCCCAGTACTACCAAAAAAAATCAAGTTGAGCTCTTTCCCATCTTGATGGCAGGTGAAAAAGCTAGGAAGCTGGACACTAAGAAGAAACCTAACGCCAAGAAGTCTGATGCCTATGGCAAGGTTAAGAAGGATCCCCCTCTAAAAGACAAAAAAAAAAAAAAAGAAGAAGGATCCTCTCAGGGTAAAAAGCCCAAGAAAGGGAGGCCCCATTTCAGCCAAAACCCAGTCCTAGTTGGAGGAATTGGCAGATCCTCCTGATCTGCTATGTATTCCATAAAGACCACGTAAAAGAGGACTCTGTACTCTGCTACCAAATCCAAGGTTGAAAAGGAAAAAGGAGAAGTTTCTTGCTACCATTACAAAACTAGTTGGTGGTGACAAGAATGGTTGTACACAAATGGTTAAGCTTTGAAAATGTCTAGATATTATCCCACTAAAGATGTGCGGAGGAAGCTGTTGAGCCACAACAAACAGCCTTTCTGTCAATATGTAAGGAAACTTCGCACAGGCATCACTCCAGGAACCATTCTAACCATCCTCACTAGGCACCACAGGGGCAAGAGAGCGGTTTCCCAGAAACAAGTGAGCAGTGGCTTGCTATGTGACTGGACTTCTTTCCCTTAATCAAGTTCCTCTGTGTAGAAAACAACAGATATTTGTCATCACAAGTCCACAAAAATTGATGTCAGCAGGTGAAAATCTCCAAACATCTCACTGATGCATACTTTAAGAAGCAGCTGCAGAAGCCCAGGTACCAGGAAGTCAAGATCTTTGACAAAGAGAAAGAGAAAGACAAGATTACACAGCAGTGCAAGCTTGATCAGGAAGCTGTAGACACACAGATTTTACCAAAAATCAAAGATGTTCCTCAGCTCCAGGACTACATACAGTCTGTTTTTGACCTAACAAATGGGATCTAGCCTCACAAAGTGGTGTTCTAAACTTGTTACCAAAAACCTAATTAAATAACTGATAAATTCAAAACAAAATCAAATTGAGAGCCAGGTATGGTATAATCCCAGCACTCAGAAGGTTGAAGTAGAAAGATTGCAAGTTTGAGGCCAGCCTGGGTGGCACATGAGTTCAAGGCCAGCCTCATTACATGGCAAGACCCTGTCTCAAAACAAACAAACAAAATCAAATTGAAAATAAATGTAAAAATAAATAACGTGAAGCAGCAAATTCAACCAAATAAAAAAGAAATATTCCAGAAATCCTAATGCAGTAACTGATGTAGGCAATCAAATTTCTTGTGGACAGTTCTCTTTATACACAACTCACCAGCTCACTTCCTCCACCTCTGCTATTTTCCCTTTCCCAGAATCCAAATCAGCACAATTCCTTGTCCTTGACCCAAGAGATGTAGCCATCAGTGAGCATACCTAAATATTGCTCTCAGCACCATCTAGAGACTAAAATAAAAATATATGACTTAGCTCTCGACCTTCAAGTTACAGGAAATCCATTTGAGAGTCTATACTACATACAGGCAACAGATAATAATATAACTTGACAATTCAGGCTGGCAGAGTGGCTCAAGTGTTAAGAGTACTTCCCTAGCAAGCGTGAGGCCCTGAGTTCAAATCCTAGTACCACAAAGGAAAAATAAATTAAGTAATGACAATTAAATGCAATGGAATTGTGTGTGGTACAAGCTCTATGGAGTTTGGAGACATGTCAGATCAGAGAGAATGTGACTAGAGCTGCAGGAGGCAAAAGAGCCTAGAAGGAGAAGGTGGGTTTTGTCACTGCAGTGTTTTGTAGGTACTGTCAAGGTTTTGGATTTATCCCAAGTATAATGGAAATTCATTAAGAGGATTCTATGGAGACAGATGCAATTTAAGAAGATCACTCTGATCACTGAATAAAGAATAAACTAAGGAGAGGTGAAAACCATCAGAGAATAGCTAAGAGGCTATTGAAGTGGTTCAGCTGAGAGATTATGGGAGCTTGCATCAGGACAGTGGCTGTGGAAACATGGAATATTAAAAACATTATAGAAGTAGAATCAACAAGATTTGTTGATATTCCTTATGTAAAGATTGGAGAGAATGACTAGAAGGAAGGAGCTATAGATATTCTGAGAATTCATATTTCAACATTTGGGCATATGGTTTCACATTCCCAGACTGGGGAAGATGGAAAAGATACAGGTTTTAGATAGTAAGGCTAAAAGTTAAGTATTTAACAAGTCAAGATGCAGATATACCACCAGATATGTCAAATAATCAGCTGACTCATTGATTGTCCTCTCCATAGTTCATCTTCTAGGACATGGGTCTGGGGCTGAGCAAAGAAGTCTAGTCCAGAGTTAGTTTGGAGGAGTTTTTGGCATATGGATGGTATTAAAGTCATGAAGACATATAAGATCGTATCGGGCTGTGGAGTTTTCAAGCTTGGAGTGTGTGTTTACAATGCAAGTTTCTTTTTATTTTTTTCTAT